GCAGCTTGATAAGCAGACAAAGATGCTGGACAGTCCAAGTATAATTGCAGATCCTTCTAACAGTGCCCTCGCTCTGGCCTTGAGAAGTATCATAGACCCTGAAGGATCAGACTCAGCAGATGTGCTTGAAGGAGTAAATGCCATCATAAATCACTGCAGTAAGCAGCAGGTGAGCTCCATCTTTCTTCTTTATCTCTCACTGCATCAGACTTCTCTTTAGGTTTCCTAGGCCAAATAATGAAAGTTCATTTTGCTGTAGCTAATTCTGATAGGTTTTGAATTGCTTTCCCTAACCATGCAAAGTGGCGATGCCAAGTGTGAGCCTTCATCCTTACAAACAGAAGGCAGAACAGCACGCCATGATCCTGACAGCCAGAGTAAACAGCATTGCTCTTAAGACCTATCAGCACACAGAGTGAAAAATGATGATACTGCCTCTATATTGCCTAGGTTACAGTGAAGACCTCAGATCCAACTCTGATTTCACTCTAGTTTCAAGCAAATTAACCTAAGCCTAATTGCCTTTCAGTTCTTTGAGAAGGGTTTTCACAGACCCGTGTGCTGTCCCTTTGCAGCACGTGTCACATTTGAGACAGCCACAATGTGTAGAGTACCAGCATACAATAACAAAAAGCTTCACCCCATGCAGAGTAACACCTCTTCAGAAGGCTGCAAGGGTCTGCCCTTCTTGTTCTTCAGCCCAACCTTTTATCCCCTCATGTTCCTGCAGTGCCCCTGTGTGCCCTCTGTTCCCTTTGGTGGTTGCTCAGAGCACCTGGGCACTCCATGGCTCATTGCTGCCAGTGCTGCTCACCTGCTGCTCACAGCTGTGCCCACTGGGGATGGGGCTGGGCCCAGCCCCACTCCCAGTCCCCAAAATGTGCACCTACACTGTCTCTGTACACCCACAAGTCTGGTTGAATGGCAGATGAGTTTGTTGATGAAGCAGGCTTTTTGGTTTCTAATGTTTACTCCCACATGAATGAGAAAAACAGCTTTTCTCTTACTCTGTCCTCACTGTTACCCAACTTTATTTGCTCTTTTACTCCTTAAACTGTGAGAGAGATGGGCATCTCTTTCTAAGTGTGCCATTTTCTTTTACCCTAGGTAATGATGCACTATAATATCCCAGATTTCAGGGACTCTGAAGAGTTTTTATCTTTACTGGCTCGGAAGAGAGGCATGCTGAAAAAGGGAGGTGTTCCTGACATAGAAAATATGGCTAAATTAGTGCTTTGTGACTGGACAGGGTATGTATGTTGTGAACTTTGCTCTGTGCTGCTCACCTTTTTCTCACTGTTAATCCAGCACAGCAGAAGCACCGAGTTCAGCAAAGCACTTAAAAATGAGAGGCTGCTTTTTTCCTTCCTTTTTCACATTTCAGTTGGGTAAAGAGCTGGATTGTCCAACAGATTTAGAGAATGCCATGCACAGAGAATTTTCTGAAGTAGTGAAGGATACATGAGAAGAGTCAAAACCTGTTGTACATTGCTCCATAGTTTTTGTAATGGAAATCTGCTTTCCTCTCAAATACCAAGTCCATGTTGTTCTCCTCTTGACAGGAAAGGATATGGCAAACTTTCTGTGAAAATTTAGGGTGGTTCCTATATTCTGAGGATAGGAATAATGTAACTCAGATTCAGTAATTGACTGTGACTATCTCCCTTGCTGAAGTGACTCAGCTGCTTTTACAGGCAGGTGATTTGTGTTGACAAAGTGCTATTGCATTTTCCACTCAGGAGTGGGCTATCCCCTTAATACTTGACAACTTCAGAGTCAAATTTTAATAACTATTGAACTGCTGTTAAACCCTTATTAGTTTGAGAGCTTTGTGCTCTGGGCTTTATTTTTAAATACAGTGATTTAACTGTGTTATCTTTAGTTGTTTTTTAATGCTGGTTTTTATTTTTTTCAGAGCCAGAGTAAAGTACTACTCACAACCTCCAGGATTTCAGAAACCACCACCCTATCTTACAGAACAAAAAATAGCTGAAATGCAGGAAGGCTTTAATTTAAATAACCTAGAACAAGAAAACAGCATCACTGTTCAAGGTAGGACTCTTCTATAATAGACTACCATTAACCATCGAGTCACAGATTGGCCTGGGTTGGGAGGGGCCTCAAAAACCAACTTGTTCCAAACCCCCTGCTCTGGGCAGGGCCACCTCTCACTCAAACCAGATTAGTCAGAGCCCCCTCCAGCTTGGCCTTGAACACTTCCAGGGATGGGGCAGCCACAGCTTCTCTGGGAAACCTGTGCCAGGTCCTCACCATCCTCACAGTAAATATTCTTTTCCTGCTATCTAATCTAAATCCACCTAGGTAAACTTAACTATACTCAAATCCAGGATTTCCAGCTCCTAGCAGTTTTCTGTAGATGCCTCAGGGGAAGCTTTTCTCAGAGAATTTCCTTGCCTTGGTGGCAGAACCTGTGTGGGAGCCCTGTGTGTGGCAGGGAGGGGGCAGAACTGCAGTGTCCCTGCTTGGGGGCTAAATGACAGGAACTGAACAGACACTTGTGTTTTCTGCAGCTTTAAAGCACCCCACTCCAGCAAACAGCATTGCTTTTCAGTCAGCTGGAATGACAAATGGGACAATAGAGGAAAATAAAGTGATAGAGGAAGGACCAGAGTGGGGAAACATGGAAACAAGCAAGGAGGAGGAAGAAGAAGAAGAGGATGAAGAGGAATTCACAGAAAGTGATGATGATGAAGATGATGTGGAAGAAGATGATGATGATGATGATACCAGAGAGGTAAATGAGGGTTTCACTATGGTTGGGCTTTTTTCCTGAATTAAGGAAACAACATTGTTCCAAGTCGGCCTCAGCGGTGAGGCTCAGCTATACAAGGGCCCATCCACACTTTCCCCAGGCTCTGTTCGGTTTCATTTGCGTGGGAGATTTCATTAGTGATGTTAAAATAATATCTGACCTCTGACTTGTAGGAAAGCCAAGTTCAGGTCACCAGAAAAGCAAAGCCTGGAAAACGCCAAACGAATCCTACAAATTCCAAAGAGCAAAGGGCAGGTGTGTATTGAGAACCCTGCCTTAAGGATGGGCTCTGGGAGCTCCAAGATTTGCACTGGTTTCACTAACACATGATCTTCTCTTCTCAGGAAATGAACGTTCCAGATCACTGTCCTTCAGCTTAGATAAACCAGCAGATGAAGATGATGCCTATGATTTTAATACAGATTATGTGTAACAAATCAGGTGGGAAGGCACTGTTTGGAGAGCTGCTACTGGCTTTCAGAACAGTCAGGAAGACTGGGGTTGTAGCAGGAGCTGGTGGAGTGCTGAGAACCAGAGCTGCTGCAGACTCAGTTGCAGCTGTGTCAAATAATGTACATAATATGCATCTCCCTTGATAGTTCCAGATTTTATACAGGTCTAGGAAACTGATTGCTATTCAGCTTTGTCATAAAGTTTATTTCCTCTATTAAAGCCTATTTTAAAAATTCCTAGTAGACTCACTTAGTCTGTTCATTTTGCTTTATAAAATACCTTTCAAGACGATAAACCCTTGTCTTTGAGAAATTAAATGTTTCATTCTAGTCATGTTCGAACAACAAATCTAAGTTTTCCCTAGAGGATTACAAAGGATTACATTTTACCCTTAGACCATGACTTTAGACAGTGACTTTTCAGTACATTTTTGCAAAACTAGTAGAATTTTCACAAGTAAAGGTTGGCTAGAAAATGCTCCTTATTTCAATTAGATACAAGGTAATTTACCCAAATACAGTTTTATGTTCTGAACCTTCACTGGGAATGGTAAATGACATTTCATTAGTAATCCATCTCCTCTGGGGAATAAGTGGATTGATCTTACAGTGCTCTTGAACAAGAGTGTTGTTACCTGATGGCACCTGTTACACCTGGCAATAACTGGCCAATATAAAGCAAAACACTGCCCTGTGCAATAAGGATGTGCTGCTGTGCCCAGCCTGTAGCAGAAGTGGGACTTCAAGAGAATTGCCAAGAGGCCCTGCAGCTGCTCTAAGAGTTAAGTGTTTATAATAAATGCCTGACAGTAAATATCTCCTGTACATCTGTTTTCTTCCTGTTAGGTGAAAAGTATTTCTGTTTTCTTTGATAAACAAGTGTGGTTTTCCTCAGTGTGTGCTGAAGCATAGATTCTCATGGACAGCTTAAAAAGATGTCAGGTGCCTACGCAGGCAGTTCCTTTAAGCCTGCTAAAACACAGCTTGCTCAGCTGAATTACATTGGTGTCTGCTAATCCAAGTAAAATATTTCAAAGTTGGTAAGTGAATTTACTTCACTACTCTTAACTGCTTCAAGGACAAGAACAGTTCTTGTTCTAATTGTTCATCAAAACCCAGGAAAAGAAACAATAGGTAACAAACCAGATTAGCATATCCATGACAGAACTACAGGCAGTGACTGCAATGAGAGCAGCAGTTGAAATCCTTTTAAAGCAGAACTAAAACCACAATCCCAGTCATGAAGGAGTCCTTTACCTCTGCTGCCCTGTGTTTCAGACCAGGCAGACTCAGCTGTCGCTGGATGAACACAAAGCCTTTTGTCTGAACATCCTTCACCAGCCTGAGTGCAAACCTCTGTTAAATGGAGTAGTTGGCACAGTGGCTGCTGGGATTTATCAGCTAATCATAACTAGCACTCAACAATACAACTATAAAAAACCAAACCAACTTACCTGTAGCACAGGTGATGGACAGCTGGCTGCAGAGGGCATAGGCATCTCATTTGATGAGTTCCCAGATGGGGAAAGGCACAGCAGGAAAAACTATTAACAGAGCACTCAAGAGAACTATGAAGAACTCAACAGTAACAAAATTAATCTCTTAATTAATACAGTCTGTTCCCCAAAATAAGTAGCTTGTACTATTTTAGAATTAGATTGCTTTCACAAAGACTAAATAAATTCACTGTGGCTTTAATCACTTGCTACTGTGTACAAAAGAAATACTTCCTATATCAAGACTGGAATTAGATTGCCATTTATCTGAGGCTGGAGTCAGCATGTTACAATTAGCTTTATTTTTGAACAAAGTTTCATCCACCACTTTACAAAAAAAATGGTTTAGTGTTCACTGGCAGTTAAAACCATTTTGCATAGTGAAATAATACTCAAAGGATTAATCTTTCAAAAAGGATTCAATTTTGCAGAATTCTGTACAAAAGACTTAAACAGAAATGGTTGGGAGGAGATTTCATGCAAGAAAGGGTTGTTGAGGGAATTATTTTACAGGATAACAAAACCAAACAACAAAACAAAACCCAGGCAGCTATAATTACAGTACATTGCTGTGCAAGATTTGCTGGTGCAAACACCAGCTGAATTGAATCTTGTTCTTAGAAACTTTGTTTCTGTAATTGATAAAATGATCCCCTGTTAGAAGAATTGAGTAAAGAGCAGGAGAACACAACTGAAATGACATAAACAAAAGTGCTCATTTGTGGAGATCTTCCCCTTGTTTTCTGTAGTGCTGCTGGAGTAGCATCTTGTGTCACACAGGTGACATGAGCCTCCTTTGGACCTGTGCATTTCAGAACTGCACCTGAATAAGTGCATCATCTTGTGCTCCAGAAGGCAAGGTCGGCTCTGTACTGCAAGTTGGCTAAAAGAAAAATATTCTGCTTGGCTCCAGAAGTTTCCTGAGAAAACATCATCATTTATTCAAATGGACTCTACTTTGCTTCATAGGCTTCCGAGTGTCTGCGGATCAGGTTGAACTTGCCTGCAGGGTCAGGGACATACCACTTCTCCCAGACTTCAGCATAGGAAGCTGTTCTTCCCCAGGGCTTGAAATGTCCATTCCAGTGGAGCAGCTTGGCAGCTTCCACAAACTGAGAAGAGTACCTTTTCCCAGCACTAGACCCTTCAATTGAAAAAGAAGCATTAGTGTTGGAAATAAAGGCAGCCGAAACACCAATGTGCAAAATGTTAACTTCAAAACAAAGGATTGAACCAAGGAAATCTTATAATTTATGGGGAAAGGAGGTAATAGGGGAAGCAGAAATAAAGGCAAAGTGAAAAACAATCAGGTGCAACTAAATGTTACTTGGATCTCTTGGATCTCTCTGTCTATTTTCATACACTGCCTTAACTGACAAATTCTTTAAAATCTGCTTAACACCCAGATGAATTCAGCAGCCTATGTGTTCTTCATCAGAAACATAACCTGAAAAAGCTCTCCCAGCACTGGGGTTTTACCAGTAGAACAGACATGAATGTCTGCTCTTTTGAAAGTTTTGGAAAAAACACCTTGGATCACATCAGATACAATATATTTGTGGAAAATGAGAGGTACTTTGAGTGAGTCAGTTCAAGAACTAACCCCCAGCAGTTTGAGAAAGACTCAGGCCCACGATGGAATTGCAAAGCTGTTTTTCCTAAAGAACAAAGGACAGAATAGGGGAATACAAGCTCACTTTGCTACATCATCAACAAGGTGTCCAGCTACAGGCCTGGAAAAACACCCCCGGGGAGCAGCATTACAAACACTTCATACGTACCAAGATGTCGGACGTTCCACATGGGATCAATGCTGGAATGTTGCTTATAAAACACAATTAGCAGGGGAGGTGTTGTGATGCTGCCAGCCAGAGTCTTACTGTAGAGCTCCTCTCTGCAAGTTGAAAGGATGCTGATCAGTTGGTTTTTCACTTGCAGCAGAGATACACGCACAGCCTTCCACTGAAGAGGGAAATGCCACCAGCAGAAGCCAAGCCCTGAGCTGCTGGCACCCCTAGCCTGGGGTACTTACACCACATTAAGTGCCATCCACTTCTCCAGTTGTTTAGTGATATTCTGTAATTTCCATTCAGTCAAATTGGCAACGAAAACTCCGGGATTAAAAGAGCAGGTGTTGGCTTTCATGGCAAGCTTTCGGATGGTTTCTTTTTTGTAATCTAAAAACCCAATGTAGTTATACTGAGGGGGAAAAAAGAGAGTAGAAATTAGCTTGAAATATATGAGGAAACTCCTAAGGAAAAATTCTGCACAACTCACAACAGACAGGCATTAAGTTGAAGTTGTTACAGCAAATATCTCTTCCTTTAAAATGAGAGAAAGAAAGCTTAAGAGGCATAACGTTTTAAAAATATGATTACATATACTACATATTTTAAGGACTGCTGCATGATCTTAATAATACCGTATTACTAATATGGTACCAGTCTCAGATAAAGTACTTTTTATACATTCAGAAATGAAAAATTGTCCCTTTGATGTTCTCAGACCTCCTGCTATTCCACAACAAAAACTGCTCTCTTTGCAAAGCACAGCAAAAATTCCAGGTAATTTACTGTGCCTGAACAGAAACTGCAGGTCTCATTTGTTAACCTGGTTTGGGCAGGGACAGTCTCATGTTTAGGTTTCAGCATTTGGAGCATTCCCAAATGCCTGAGATCTACAGTATTGTTATCAGTGAACAAGACTAAAACTAACCTGATTGCCTGCTCCACGGACAGCAACTTTACTACTGGTTGAGTCACAGTCATCTGAAAATGCAGCTGCATGTCCAGGTTTCAATGGAGTGTTGTAAAGTTCAACAATATCATCTGGAAAATGGAAGCAAGCACAGGAAAATCAAAATCAATCCTGACTAAGTGCCAAGTTAGGCTTTGTTCAGTCCATTGTTACAGTTACAGCACATAAAGCTACTCAGTTTAACTCCATTCATTCATATTTACAAAGTTTGTACAAAAATGTTGGGTTCTGTGAGAGATAAGATACTGACCTCAGCATAAGACCATTGGCAGCTAACAAAGGTCCCATACCTTGCACTATTACATCATCATCCACATAGATGGCCTTCTCTGCATGAGGTACAAAGCTGGGCAAGTAGAATCTTGCAAAAGTTAACTGTGAGAATAGCAAAGCAAGAGAAATGGAGAATTAAGTGAAAAAATGTCCAAATAAATGTGAAATTGACTGATTTTTCTGGCACTTATCTATGGCATTAATGTCCAAAACAACTTCTATAGAGGAAGTAAAATAGGCAGCAATATCCTACCATTTAAAATAAATAGGTTCCATCAATTCCTGGTTTACCATGAATGTATCCATTTATAAACTAACTTTGAAACTGGTCTATATCAGAATTTCTTATTTCTCCACATAGGTCTGCAGCATCTCTGAGGTGTTGGCATGCTTGACATGCCAGCTGCGATGTTTCACTGTGCCTAGCAGCAAAAAAGGATCCTAGGCATGCATATATAGATATTCAAATCCATCTCTCATTATCTAGATATCTAGTTTTACTGAAATTTAGGGATTTTATTATAAAAGATTGCTTCTATGCTAAAAGATTTGGTTTTGATCTCCAGCTGGGTTCAAAAGTCAACATCAAAATATATTGTTATTAACTTCTAATTGCAAAAGTAATCAGCATCATCCTTACTGGTTTGAAGTTGTCTGGCTTTTGGGGATCCACTTGTACTTTGCCTTCTAAGACACGAGGATCAAAATCCAGAATTCGGTATCTCATGTTTTTTAGAGGAGGGCTCCTCAGCCACGTCCTACAAGCAGAAGAAAGGCACAGATCTTGTTAGATGAGACAAAAGCAAGGAAAAAGCAGGAGAAGTAGCTAACAGTGACACAATCTGAATGTGGCCACTCACATCCCTGCCCAACAAACACATCTGGGATATAATTGCTGCTGACATCAGTGCTGTCCTGTGTGGCCACAGGGGCACGTCCAGGGTCAGCACCTGCACACCTGGGACATGTGAAAGGTGTGAGGTCACTTCTTGCTTTATCAGAAATACACAGTCTTGTTATCACAGGCCCTTCCCAAAACCATCAGTGTGGACAGAAGGGGATTAGAACAACAGGATCAAAGAACAATCTATAAAAACAAACATAATCGCCAGCATTTGAATTGCTTAGATGAAATGTAGAAGTAACTTTTACAATCCTTCCACCAACAAACTCCAACATCACTGGTTGGATATAAGCCCATTGGAAAAGATGTTTCTTTTCCATCCCTGAAACCTGACCAGGAGGAATGGTGGGACTCCCACAGCAGCCCTCTCAAAAAGCTGCCCTAAGCAGCAGCAGATGGCCCTGGGAGTCAGGGGAGCGTAGCTCCAGGGAAAGGCAGCTTCTCTCTCAGAAACACAGAGTTCACCCTGCTGTGGGAATCCAATGAAAAGATCATTACCTCAAGTGATCCACAGTATCATTCAAAGTAACAATGTGGAAAACCACGTTGGCTCTGGTGTTTTGGTAAATGCTGTTCATGGCTGCAATTGCACCTCCAAGCCTCTCATCCGAGGCTGCAATGACCACAGAAATCTCCTTGTCATTCCTCTCATCTGCCAGCCTCTGGGGAGCTGCAGGAATGAAATCTATAGGCTGAAGTCCTAAGGGACTTGGATCTGTAAAGTAAAAATAACATACTTGTTTTTATTATTATATATTATTATTACCACACTAAAATTCCCAACACTTCAGTTATTTGTGCTGTACACTTGGATGTCTGATTGGTGTGGATTACAGTGAGCCAGTATCAAACACTCAGAACATCAGCTTTTGAGAATGAATAGAATAACACCACATTTACAGAAAACTGCATACATTTATCCACACATATTCACACACAGCACAAGGTATTAAAAGGCTGAGCTACAGTAATCTGCACTTGCCTTTGGTCCCCTCTGCCACACCTATAACCTCATTAACTTCCCCCTCCCATTCACCCAGACCACGTGGCAGGTTCTGTCTGGCCAGAGCAGGTGTTTTCCCACCAAATCTTAAAAATATATATATTTTTTTAATTAAAATAAAACCCAACATACCTGACAATTCCCGTCTCAAGAATTCACTGAGGCTTAGGAAGTTATGATGAATAACTAGCAAAAATATGACAACAGCCACTATAAGGATGGAAATGTTCACTGAAAAATAAGAAGAAAAATCTTTATCAATATAACCAGAGAACAACTGAGAAACTCGGATACAAAAGATACTAAAACAAAAAATCAGACAAGCATATACACACACCTTTCCTTAACGTCATTTTTCTGTTCTTACTTTATTAGCATAAGGTTCCTGCAAACCTACAAGAAAAAAAAGCATCAGTCACTGCCAGTGCATTCTTCCATGAGGCACAGCACAACACATTATCTCCAGGAGTGTCACAACAGTTTCAGTGTCCAAGGCAGTGACTTTCCCTCTGTCAGTTTTATGACATATGTAAAACGCTATGTCACATTTTAAAAAGTGAGGCCGATCTCAGGAAGTATCTGCCTACAACCACAGAATCTCAGGATGGGTTGGGTTGGAAGAAACCTTCAAGATCACCTGCTGCCAACCCTTGCCATGGGCACAGACATCATCCCCAGCTTCTCTGGGCAACCTGTGCTAGGGCCACACCACCCTCACAGGGATGAATTTCTCCTCAAAACCTCATTTAAACCTGCCCTGTCAGTTTGAAGCCATTCCCCCTTGTCCTATCATCCATGCCCTTGTCCAAAGTACCTCTCCAGCCCCTTTAGGCACTGGAAGGAATTCTAAGAGGTCCAGGTCCATGTTAGGGACTCCCCCACTATAATGGCATATCTAAAGCTCTCAGAGATAAAAAGGAGACATCCAGATCTTGCCACTTCACTGACAGAAAAAAAAAAAGGCCAAACTCCTTCTGCCAGTCAAAAGTAATCTAAAAGATCTGGAAAATTATGTATGTTTTTTTTTTTTCCTGTTGGAATTATTTATTTAACTACCTGAACTGAAAAAAAAGAAAGTGGGTAAGAAGGCAGTACCATCATGTTATAGAAGGGGCTAGAAACACAACACCAAGAGATTTCCGTAAGAAATTCAAACATGCTTGTTCATTATTTAAGGGTCGAGGTGAAACCAGAAAAAAAGAGTGGTGTATCATGGCGCGCGAAGGAGCTGACAAGTAACACAGAAAAAGCTCTTTAACACCACGCAAAATCCCAGGAACGGTGAGAGACTTGCAAAATCCCTAAATTAAAACACCTCAGCCCGTGTTGCGACTGCTACGTGTATCAGAACCACCTTCTTCCCGCTGCTGCATTTCTCCCTCAGGGGAGACATCAGCGGAGCCCAGCAAATCCCTGCCCGGAGCTGTCCGAGCAGCGCCGCGCTGCTGGCACGGGGCAGGACACGGAGCTTTGCCTGGGAGCACAACGCCACGTCCCGCGGCGCAGCTCCCAGCGCCAGGGCTGAGGAGAGCACGGACACGGCCGGCGCCTCAGCGACACGCGGCGGGCGGGCTGGGGACAGTGACAGAACGTGCCCCGCACAGGGGTGGTGACGGACCACAATAAGACACACACCGCGCCGCTCGGCCGGCTGCCCGCAGCGCACAGCCCCGCTCCGGGGCCGCGGGCCCGTGCCCGGCTCTCCCGCACCGCCCCGGCCCCTCAGCGGCCCGCGGGTGCCCGCCCGGGTGCCTGACCGCCGCCAGGCGCCGAACCCGCCCGCGCCCACCCCGCCGCGATACCGGCGGCTCCGTGAGACGAGCCCGAGGCTCGGGCGGGCGGGCGGCCCGCGAGCTGCCGAGCCAGTGCGGGTTTCCGACAGGCGGCCCCGCGGCGCCTCGCACCTGCCGGGGAGGGCGCCCGCGCCGGGGTCCTGCGCGGCGAAGCCGCCGTTGCCGAGGAGACGCGTACCGGCGGGCGCGGGGGAGCCGGAGCGGAGCAGCCCCGGAGCGGCGGCGGCGGCGCCGAGGCGATGTCCGGGTCGGAAGGCGGCACCTGCGGCCGATGGAGCTCTGGGTGGGGCGGACGGGGCGTGTTTCCGGCCAGCTCAGCAGCCGCCTTCCGCTCCGCCGCGACGAGCACCGGTAGCCGCGGAGAGGCCGCGCCGGCACCGCGAACAGCGGAGCCCCAGCCGGGAGCGCGGAGACGGCTGCGAACAGGAGCGGGGAGAAGACGGAGAAGCGCCGCCACCATGCTGAGCGTGTTTCGCTCCATCCCCACGCATGTGGTAGGGCCGCCCGGGCCTGGGCACCGGGTCTAGTGTCCCCTGCTCGCACGGCGACACGGCCGGGCGCGGGTCTAGTGCCCCCTGCTCGCACGGCGACACGGCCGGGCGCGGGCTCAGCAGCCCCTACTCGCGATCTTGGCACCCGTGTGCGAGGCACGGCCAAGGGGGATGCAGGATGAATCCGTGTAATTCCGGGTTTTGACCTGCGAGTTGGGACTCTCATGCTGTAAGAGGAAGCTGTCTGTGTAAGGGAAACCCCTCTGTGCTTTCCTGTCTCTCCTCTGGAAAGACAGAAGGCAGCGTGTGCTCCCAGAGAGCCACGTTTTCTAACGGCATGCAAACATAGATTAGTTGGGTTTGGAAGGAACCACTGGAGATCATCCAGTCCAACCCTCCAAGGCAGGGTCACCTGGAGCAGGAATGAGTCAAGGTGGATTTGGAACATCTCCATAAAGAGAGACTCCACGACCTCTCTAGGCAGCCTGTCCCAGTGCTCTGCCATCCTCAACATAAAATTCTTCCATTTGTTGAGGTAGAACTTAGTGTGTTTTTGTTTATGGCCATTGCTCCTCATCCTGGCACTGGGCACCACTGCAGAGAGTCTGGCACCATCCTGTTGGCACCCACCCTGGAGACATTTATCTGTCAGCCTTCTCCAGAACACAGGTGCCACACACACCATGCCCTCTTTAGCACACTCTCTTCTGTGGTGATACAGCTTTTACTTAGTGATGTTAAGGTGACTACAGTGATATTTTGAACTTGCATTACTTACCCTGTACAGACAGTGCTTGTTTCTAGGTGATGTGGTCAAGCCTGCAGAGGAGGTGTTTTCAGCCACTGTAAGAAAAATAATTCCAATCTGGTTTGAAAGTTGAATAAAAACGCTGAGAACCCATGGTCCGGTAGACTGTAGGATCTAACCTGAAAGATGAAAGTGGGCAGGTCTGTGTTTTGAATAACTGACTAAAAAGTATCTCTTTCCATAGGACTACAAGGGCCAAAAATTAGCAGAACAGATTTTTCAAGGAATCATTCTTGTCTCTGCAGTAAGTATAGTAGACCTGTGAGTAAGAACATAAAGGACTATTTTATTTTCTGATCTTATATATATTTTTCATCTTGTTTGGGGTGACTAAGAGCTTTAAGCAAAGTCAGAGGGGCTGTCACAGATTAAAACTTTTCTACTTCCTATCTTCTACTTTCATTGTTGGCCTGCACTTTTGAAAATGTTTGAAAAATGTACATGCTTTTGAAAAACCGGTATTTTCCTACCTAAATCTACACCCTGGATCTTAATAATGTAATGGGAAATGTTTTTCTTCATTTAAAGTTTGATTTTTTAAAATGTTTGTTTTTCCAGGTAATTGGTTTCATCTGTGGATACATCACTGAACAGTTTGGATTGACTGTCTACATAGTTATGGCTGGATTTGCTTTATCGTGTTTGGTAAGAACGTTTTTTCCCCAAACCAAAAAATATATGCACTGTTTAATCTGGAATAATTACTAAACTGAGGAGCTGTCAGCACAGACTAATATTTGCTATGCAATTCAGATTTATTGATACATATTTGTGCTCCCTTTGATCTGCATAAAGTGCTTTGCAGCCCAATAAGTGCTTTTATTGAAATGCTAGCAGAATTTTTGCAATTTAATACCACTTTTGAGTTCATTTTTAATTTCAATTAAAAGTTAGAGTTAAGTCCAGCTGACAGCATTAGTAACAGAAAGGACAGGGAGGCTTTCTGTGTAGTAGCAGCTTCTCATGACAATTTTGCAGCTATCCCCTGCTGCCTGAGGAGACAATGAGGCAGAATATGGAATTTCAGGAGTAATTCCTCATCCATGCATGAGAAGTGTCCCATTCCTATTGGAGCATTCCCAGTCCGTTTTACACATGGTTCTTACACCTCTCAAGTGTTTAGATACAACACAATTTGACCAATCACTACTCAAGACACACACACATTCCACTGTTTTGAAAAGCCCCTGTAATTCTCTGGCATCATCATCATCCACCTGCTCCTTATTTAAACATGCCTGAGTTACTTACCCGTGATACCAGGCAAGGGGAGGGTCTCAGTGCAGTGTGGGAGGTGCTGGGAATGCTGGTATCACCTCAGGAGTCCTTTTTTCTTCTGGATGGGTGCTGTCTTCCTCCTTGCAACGACCTGGGCTGCTTTAGTCACATACTTAAGCATTACTTTGCAATGTAAACAGTAAACATATATGAAATTGTAAGAGTTTTTTGAGGACTAATAGATAATCAGTTAGGGATGAAGATTTTCCTAAGGAGCTGTACAGAACAGCTCCTTAGCACCTCAGAGTCCGTGTTCTGACTGCCTCCTTTGCCCTCAGCTGACACTCCCTCCGTGGCCCATGTACCGCTGCAATCCCCTCGAGTGGCTGCCTGTGCAGGAGTCGGGCACGGAAGAGAAGAAGGCAGCAGACAGGAAGCCAAAGAGACATTCTAAAAGCTAAAAATTACAGTTTCCAGGCTGTTACTTTGTTAAATTTTGTTAAATTAATTCCCACTGAGAAATACTTCTTGGCTTAGTGTTTGGGCTTTTTCCTAGTGCTTTGTATATTACTATGAGTACAACCAAGCTCTGCAGGGAGCATGAAGGTTGGAAATTGGGTCTGGAGTTTCAGGGGAGTCACAGGGATGGGGGGGATTAACTTCAGAAGGCTACTGGAGGTCACATCTTGAGTATTTCACTAGAAAGGAACACAGTGAATCAAATTAATTCTGGTTAAGCTGTTGCCATAGCCTAAAAGATTAATAAACAGCTGAACTTCTGAAATGTTTCTAACTGCACGTAAAACAAGTTGTCAGTAGTGCCAGGTTGTTACAAATACTGTGAAATGGCACATACCCCAGAGTTCTGAAAATAGCTGTTCTAGGATTGGAGGGTACAAAGTGCCAGTTTTTGTTTAAAATAAATTTCCCTAGGAAGAACAAGTGTAGAGTTGTGTTTTTTATGCTTTATTACATTTGCATTATGTATAGGTTTGTCCCATGTACCCCCGGTTCTATAACGATTCCCCCCGGGTTTTCCCGTCTCTCCCCGCGGTCTGTTGTCCCCAAGAAATGCCAGGTATAGTACACATACCTGGGGACTGTAGCAAGACATTCTGGATGCAAATAAAAAGAAATAAGTGTTTTATCTTTTCCCTAAGAGATTCTGGTCTTGGGCACTTTCATTCCTAAAATAAATTGGTATTTGTAAGGCAAAGGGATTTCTCCAGCTGGAACCATGGTAACCATGGCTGCATTCCTTTCAAACATTTTCAGACTGTTTTATCCAGATAGCAAGTGCTTTCCCCCACTTTGTTGACTGCCTCAGCAACAAAACACAAGAGCAAAGTTTCTCCTTACAAGCAGTACAGCTGCTCCCTTCAGCCCTTAGAATTGGCAATTTACAAACCCTGAGGACCTCGAGTTCCACAAAAATTAGCAATTGTCCCTTCATGCTAAATTTTCACAACTATCTGAGGTAATAGATTATAGTTTATCACATCAGAGCCTTGGCAGAGATTTTGTTAGTGTATTTAGTATGGGACCATACCAAAAACCTTTTGGTATGACAAATTCAAACCAGAACATAATCTTTTTTGACACTCCTTAGTATACAAAACTTGGTATCGATCCCTATTTGCATCTATGGAAAGCAACTTTTTAAGAGAATAAAAATTAAACTAAAGAGAAACTCAGAAGCTTCTCTTCTGCACAAGTGATAGCCTGGTTCACATTTTAACATGAAAAATATTATTATGAACTCTTAATGTTTTCTGCAAGTTCACCTCCTTATTCCACCAAAGGAGATCAGTGGATGAACATGCTTTGTAGGCTGGTTCAGTCTATCAAAGGAGCTAGAAAACAGTTCTTTCCTCCAAGGAAAAGATTCTGGTCAGAGCTTCACATTTTCTTCGAGGAATTTGAGGTGCCGAGCCTTCGCACTGTAACTCCCGTACTTGTCTCCCATGTGCTCCCGCAACTGCAGCTGTTCACAGCACACACAGAACAAAACCCACAACATTTACTGGCACTGAAAAAAGCAGAAGCTACCAAAATATTAACAGAAAAATACCAAAGCACTCAGCTGAAAGAAGTATGTGAAGCTTGGCAGTGTGGATGAGAGAGAAGAAAAATGAACACTGTTGTTGTCTAAAAGCAAGAGACTTTCAAATCCCACCCAAAAATTTAAAATATAAGATCTTCACAGGTTACAAACCAAATACTGCCTGGGTAAGTGTAACCAAGCCTTGAATCAAAGGGGCTGGAGGTATTCCTTATTCAACTCTATTGGGGATTGATGTTAAATTATTTCTTATTTTGGACATAAAGGGCATGAGGCAAGTAATGTGAAGGCAAACATTTGAGAGACAGAAGAAATTATTACTGAAGAAACAGCACAGAATAAGATTATTTGCATCCCTCACACCTTCCCAATGGTACAATCCTAAAGCTCTGATGGTTTCTGAAGAAGGTGCATTTGAACATAGTCTACATGTAGAATCAAACTTAAGTGTGAAAATACAATATACTTAGGTCCTTGCCTGCCCATGACTACATAAAGACTTTCTGGAATCAAGGTTTACCCTATCTCAATAGGATAAAGAGCCTGCTAATTTATCTAGGTTTATAAAGAAATTAAACTATTTTATTATGGAAGACATTCACCTCTCTTCTCACTTCATCATCTTCTTCCATGATTCTGTACACCTTCTCAAGAAGTTTCACTCCCAGTCCTTGCACCACATCAGATCTAAGGATTTCAACCATTCTCCTGATATTGTAAGGGACCAATGACATATCTATTAAAAATAAAATGCAATGAAAAAATCAGTGCAGCAGTAATTACTTTCAGTACAATTTTCATATTCTGCAGAAGAATATGGAATAACTCTAAGTATTACCACAGAATCCCAGAGCAACAGACCTGAAGGAATCTCTTCCATTTTTAATTCCTCTGATTCATCAGGTGATTTTCCAT